GAGAGGGTCACTGTCCTGTGCAGCCTGAGAGGATGCAAGGAGCATGGCTCTGCAGGTCGAGTGAAAAGCAGGACAAGGGCTCCTGAGGACCAGAGTGTGAGCCCAAAGAGAGTCCGTTCTGTCACAGTTTGGGTCGCTTGTAGGCTGAGAGGAGGGATAAGTTTGAGAGGCAATGAAAACAAAGCACATGGGCTCTTGAATGTCAAGGTGAGATGTTCAGACTTCCAGAACGGGTGGTGCCGTGGCCGTGCAGGAGCCGTTTCAGTGCTGGGCTGCAGACTGATGCGACTAGAAGCTGGGGAAGGTGGTTTGCCTCAGGGCGAGCCGAGACGGGTTTGGCCCCAACACAAGAGCCCCAGTGGAACGTGAGATGCACCTGAATGAGGCGGTGGGGATGGAAAAGCGGGGCAGGGTGACAGGTGCTGTGGAGGCCTGTGCTGTGGGTGCTGATGTGGGAGGAGATATGGGTGAGGCCTGTTGAATCATGTGGAGAAGCCCACACAGGCTACTAGGAGGGCGGAAAGGGGTGTTTTGTGTGAAGGCGGAAATGAAGCAGAGCCGGGCCTCCCGGGAGCAAGGCCAGGATCTGGGAATCATTCAAATGGGAGGAGGCTTCACTTGGCTTATGCGTGGGGTCCGTGTCTCTCCTTTCTGTCCGTCTCCCCTGTGCTCCCTGGTTCCAGGGTTCTGCTCCCTGTGACTCCCTCTTGCAGTGGTCCGGGATGCCATGGCACCGCTTCTGACCCCTCATCTCTGTGGCCTGGAAGTTCCCATGCTCCACGCTTCTGAACACAATTTAGGGTCTTGACATTGGAATTCTTGGTCGGCATTGGGCCACACCTGCTTGTGCCTACTCCTGGGTGAGGTCACCCGGGTTGCCCTTCCCTGAGCTTTGGCAAAGCAGATAAGGTCAGAAGTTGAATAACATATCTAGTAGATAAGCTGAAGAGAAGCAATCCAAGGCCACAGAGGGACAATCCATTCTTCCTGGAAAATGTTGCTTCAGTTCTTAGGAAAACTCAATATTGAAAGAGGTTGGTTTTTCCCAAACTGACTATTTGAGAGTGAATGTAATTTTAAACAAAACCCCAATAGGGTCTTTTTTTTTTTTGAGGAAGATTAGCCCTGAGCTAACTGCTGCCAATCCTCCTCTTTTTGCTGAGGAAGACTGGCCCTGAGCTAACATCCATGCCCATCTTCCTCTGCTTTATACGTGGGACTCCTGCCACAGCATGGCTTTGGCCAAGTGGTGCCGTGTCTGCACCCAGGATCCGAACCGGCGAACCTGGAGCCGCCAAGAACCGGAACGTGCAAAATTAACCGCTGCGCCACTGGGCCGGCCCCCCAGTAGGGTGTTTTTAAGGAACTTGACAAGCAGGTTCTGAAATTTATTTGGAAAATCAAAGGCTTAAGAAGAGTCAAGTGGCCGAGACATGGGGAGGAAGAGAATGAAGGACCCGGTTTACTGGGTATCAACATTTGTTATAAGTCTACTGCAATTAAAACAGTGCGGTGTTTACAAAAGGATAGATAATAGACAAATGGGACAGGATAGATTGCCCAGAAGCAGCCTCAGAAGACTGTGAAACCGTGGTGTGTGACAGCAGTGGTGTTGAAGACTGTGTTAGTTTTCTGTTGCTACTGCAAGAAATCACCACAGACTGAGTGGCTTAAGGCAACAGAAATTTTTCATCACACAGTTCAGGAGGTCAGAACTCTGCAACATGTCCACAGGGCTGTGCTCCATTTGGAGGGTCCTGGGAAGAACGCATTTTCTGCCTTTTCCGGCTTCCAGAGGCTGCCTCCGTGCCTTGGCTCATGACCCTGTCCTGGATTGTCACAGTGCGTCACTCCAGTCTCTGCTTCTGTCCGTACATCTCTCTGACTCTGAGTCTACTCTTGCCTGTCATGGGGACCTTTCTGATTACATGGGGCTCACCCAGGTAATCCAAAATAATCTCCCCACCATCCTTAACCTGACCATACCTGCAGGTTCTCTGTTGCCATATAAGGTAACATATTCACGGGTTCCAGCGACTAGGAAGTGGACATCTTTGGGGAGCTGTTTTGCAAACTACCAGAAAGACCAACAGGGAAGGGACAGAAATTGTGCTGGCACAATTGGTTATTCACATGGAAAAAATGAAATTTGCAACAATGAAATCAATTCCAAACAGATCAAACACTCAAGTGTGGAAAGCAAAGTTTGATACTTTTAGAAGATAATGCGGGAGAATGTCTTATCGACTTGGATAGAGAAGGACTTACTAAACAATATTAAAGTTCTAATTGTAAAAGATTAATAAATGCAGCTACATGAAAATTAAGAATTTCTGTTTGTTAGAGGACACTGTAAAGAAAAGGAAAAGTCAGGCCACACACTGGGAGAAGATATTCACAACATACAGAACTAAAAAAGGAATAGTATTGAGAGCAAAGAAATAACTATAACAGTCAATAAGGAAAAAGTAAACAACCCAATAGAATAATGGGCAGGGGCCGGCCTGGTGGCACAGCAGTTAAGTGCGCACATTCCACTTTGGCGGCCCAGGGTTCATTGGTTCGGATCCCAGGTGCAGACCTATGCACCACTTGTCAAACCACGCTGTGGCAGGCGTCCCACATATAAAGTAGAGGAAGATGGGCACGGATGTTAGCTCAGGGCCAGTCTTCCTCAGCAAAAAGAGAAGGATTGGTGGCAGAGGATAGCTCAGGGCTAATCTTCCTCAAAAAAAAAGAAAAAAGAAAAATGGGCAAAAGACCAGTAGTCCATAAATAGGCTCCAGCTCATCAGTAAGGAGGGAAATGGAAGTTTAGATGACAATGAGATGCCATTTTATACCCACCAATTAGAGAAAATCTTAAAACCTGATAGTTCAAAATGTCAGAGGGGAACATGGGGTGATGGGGGCACCTTTAACTGCAGGTGAGAGTATAAATTGGTACAACCACTTTGAAAAACAATTTGGCAGTATTTTGTAAAGCTGAATGTGTACATTTCCCATGAGCGGGATATTCCACTCCTAGGTGTACATCCTAGAGAAACTCTTCCACAGGCGCATAAGGAGATATTTGCAAGATGGGTCGTAACAGCATTCTTTGAAAGTTTTTAAAGAAATCTGAGAACAACCTCTATTGCCCTGGCTGTGCTAATGCATAAGTAAATTGTGAAGAATTCATACTATGGAATATTATGCAGCTGTGAATGTGGATGAGCCACAACCACATGCAGCAATCAAGATGAACCTTTGAAACACAAAGTAAATGAAAAAAAAACAATGCCTCAGAGGACAGCACACTTATAAGACACTATTTTCATAAATCTCAAAAACAAGCAAAACTGAGCAATGTATTCAGAGATATATTCATATTAGGTAACACTATTTTTGAAAGCATGAGAATGATAAAAGTCAAGGCAGGAGTTATCTCTGAGGGAATAGCAAGGTGGGAGTAGCTGGCTTAAGGAGGGGCATGCCACTCCCAAGTAGGGGTCATGTTCTAGATCTAAAGTTTGGGGTAGGTTTGCAGGTATTTATTTTATTTTCATTATAACTTATGTATACATTGTATTTTTAAAAAGATAAGTCCCAGAGGCCAGCCCAGGGCCGAGTGGTTAAGTTCGCGAGCTCCACTTCAGCAGCCCAGGGTTCCACCAGTTCAGATCCTGGGTGCAGACATGGCACCACTCATCAAGCCATGCTGAGGCAGCAGCCCACATGCCACAACTAGAAGGACCCACAACTATGTACTGGGGGGTTTGGGGAGAAGGAAAAAAAAGGAAGATTGGCAACAGATGTTAGCTCAGAACAAATCTTTAAAAAAACTAAAAATGAAATTATAAGTCCTGGGATCAGCCTGGTGGTGTAGTGGTTAGGTTTGCGTGCTCTGCTTCAGCGGCCTGCAGTTTGCAGGTTCAGATCCCAGGTGCAGACCTACACCTGCTCGTCAAGCCATGCTGTGGTGGCATCCCACATACAAAATGGAGGAGGATTTGGCAGATATGTTAGCTCAGGGCAATCTTCCTCAAGCAAAAAGAGGAAGGTAGGCAACAGAGGCTAGCTCCTGGCCAATCTTCCTCACAAAAAAAAATAAAAGAGGTAAGTCTTGGTTCATTAAAATTAAGTACTTAAATTAAACAAAAGACATCATTAATACGCAAGTCAGTGACTGGGAGAATAGATTCATAGCACATATGTCTGTACAAAGAAGACCTACATATCGATAAGAAAAGGACAAACAATTAAGAAAGGGGCAAAAGACTTGAACAGGCACTTCATAAAGAGGATGTCTAAATGGCCAATAAGCACATGGAAAGAGCTCCACCTCATCACTTGTAGGGGAAATGCAAATTAAAACCTCAGTGGATGCCACTGCCTATGAGACAGGGCAGCTAAACTGTGAAAGACTGACAAGATTACGTGCTGACAAGGATATGGAGCACCCGGAAGTGTCCTTAATTGCCAGAGAGAAAGTAAATCGGTTTACCCACTTCGAAAAACTGTTAGACATTATCCACTAAGGTTAGACATAGGCCCAACCCTGTGATCCAGCAGTTTCAATCCTGGATATTTACCCAAGAGAAATGAAGGCGTGTGTCCACAAAACATGTGTACAAGAATGTGCGTCATAGCTTTATTGATAATAGCCGCAAACCGGAAAAAACCTACGTGTTTGTCAACGAGGTCAATAAATTGTGGCATATTCATACAATACGGAAGAAATTACACACGCAACAATGTGTATGAATCTCAGACATTACGTTGAGCAAAAGAAGTCAGACACACACATGCTGTATAATTCCATATAGCTGAAGTCCAAGGATGGGGTTCGTTAATCTATAATGGGAGAAGTCAGGATATTGGTTACCTCGTGGTGCCTAGGAAGTTGTACACGGGAACCTTCTGGGAGGATGGAAGTGTTCTAGATCTCCGTCTGGTGTAGACATATGCGAGTTTTTATCACATAGTACAATTAAGATTTGTGTGTTCTATTCTATATAGGTTATACTCTGAAAACAAGAGAGACCTCCAGCATCTCCTTTTGGCCAGATTTCTCCTCTCCAGCGTGCCCTGTATAAGAATTCTGGAACCCTTGACATTTTGCCTGAGGAAAGCCACTTGAATCCCAGTGAACAAACACAGCAGAGAAACTGAGTCTTATTAGGAAGCACAAAATGGCTCACAAGAGGAACAGGAAACCCGCTGACACAGTTGGGAGGAATGTGTTTTGCTGATGGAATGGAGATAAGTAGAACAGGAAGGCTGACTGCCTCCCAAATTCGTTTGTTTATTCAACAGGTACTTTTTGACTTTCTGCCACGTTGCAGGCGTTGTGCAAAGTTCTCCTCTAAGGATCAGGCCGTCGGATTTACCTCTCAGCACAGAACTAGCTTGATCTTCCCCTTCGTGGGGACTCTGTTTCCCTCTGTACCTTCCTCCCTGTGTCACCTTCTTCTCTGTGGACCTTTTCTGTCTCATGAGGTTAGCTGGCTTGGATTCAACCTTGGCCCGTGAATCTATGAATCTTTCCAGCTTAGGCTCTTTCTAATAAACGTCTGTCTCAGTCAGCTATAGCCATGTAACAATGTACACCAAAACTTAGTCACTTAGGACAACAGTCACCTTGTCAGTCATGCGTCTGTGAGTCGGGCATTGGAGTAGGGCGCAGTGGACAGTTTCTCCTCCTCATGGTGTCATCTGGGGCGGCTCAGCTAGGGCTGCCCTCTTCTTAGCAATGCCAGCTCATTAGGAATTACTTCAACACATCATCTTCTTTTCCATTGTGCTCTCCTAAAAACTTTCAGATGATGGCTGCCATAGTTCCTAAAACCAACATAAATGATGCTAAACCAGGGCCGGGAGCTTTGCACCAGCATCAGGGGTCCTCTGTGTTTCTAAGAAGCCACGCAGAGATGTTGTCCATTCTACGCTTAGGAGACTAAGGCTGGTCTTAAAATGTTTTATTTTCTTTGTTTTAAGAAAGGAAGGAAAACTTCATCTTGAGTAAACCCCAGGTTGGACAGTTAAGTCAGTCCCTTCTCTTCTCCCTGTCCCCCACTACAGCGTGAGTGAGGATTTGTTGCTCGGGCTAGATCTTCCTGAAACCAAAGCATCAGTACAAATGTAGGTGGAGCCAAACAACTAAATGTCAAAGACGGCACAGATAACATACATCAATCACCCTTCCGACCCAGAAGACTATTTCAGGAAACACCCACGCAGCTCAGACAGGAAATCCCTGTGGCCTTCAGAGGCAACAGATGCAGGGAGCATGGCTGTCACAGGACAGGCTTGGAGAAGTGGGTCACAGCACTGCCTTAGCGCTTGTCTGCTCCCTGTGGTCCTGGCCTTCTCTAGGCCACAGCTCCCACGTCTATCAGTGGGACACTTGATGGTGATGCACAAGGATGCACAGAGATTGTGCGCACAAAGCCCCTAGCACGGTACACAGCACCTGGCAGGTGCTCAGGAGATGTTGGCCTCTACTGGTCCCAACTACTGGAGCAGCCCAGCCCTGCAGAGAGCTGGCCATGTCTACTTTATCAACCATCATGGAACCAGGCCCTGGTTCCTAGGGCCGTGCCCACTGGCATTGCCCCCTGCAAAGGAGTTGTTCATTTTTCTGCCACCCAGGGCCGTACACACCTGTGGCTCGCCCCATTTGTACATCACTGTCAAGTCGTTTTTACCAAGTAGAAGATTTGATTAAAACGCTGTCATATTGACTTGATGTGTCGAAGATATCCACATGCTCTATCATAAATAACTCAACTTCCAGGCAAGTCCTAAAGTAAATCTTTTTTTTTAAACTTCACACTGCCTTGACAATTATTTGAGTTGGTTTGTTCACGCCTTATGAACTCTTCCAGCGTGGACCTGCACCCCCCAGAACTGAAACTTCAGCTCTTCTGGAAGTATCTAAAAGTTGAAGGCTCTGCCAGGCCTATCTTGGGGCTCAGCAAAAGTTAGCAGTTTATATTAAAACATCCCTCAGAATGGCATCCTAGCTTGGAGAGGCAGGATGAGGTTAATAGTTGGGAAGAAAAACAGGTGCTTAAAAAAGATGGTTTACTCTACTCCATTTTGGTTTCTGTTGTGTGTGATTTTGCTATGTCACTTACTCCTAAAACCCTAAAAATAAACGTTGTATTTAATATTAGTCCACTTAAACTATTTCTGGCTGGACACGGTAGATTGTGCAGAAATCCACGCTTGCCATTTCAGAAACTGTTCGTTGATCTAAAGGTTAAAGGCGGAAGTGGTTTCTGTAGGGTCCGGGATATATATATATATACATATATACTGACTGCTCAGTCCAGGTGAGCTCTGTTTATGAAAATACGCTTCGTTTTCCCCTCTGATGACAGCAACAGAAAACAGAAAAATTTGGAGTAGCAACGCGTGCTCAAGTAATGTCTGATTCTTATTGTTTTATTTTCCACACTATGTTCTACAGCTAGAGTCCTGACGACTATAGCACTGAAACCCTGAAAGTTTATCTTTTATTATTTCAGTTTAGTCACCCAAAATTACTTGATGCTTCAGGTGGCCAGTCATGCAAGAATTCACGCTTGAGTACTTCAGAGACTGTCCCATGGTCTAAAGGTTCAACTCAGGATGTGGTTTCCACTCTGAAACAGGTCCCAGCTGCCACTCACTTTACTTTTATAATTTATTTTATCTCTTTCAAAGTTACATGCACCTTAAAAAGTCAAAAGTTGTACAATGGGAAAGCTCACCATGAAAAGCAGCGGCTCCCTTGCCTCTTCTCTGAAGCACCCCGCTCACCATTGCCCAGAAGCCCCCACTTCTAGCTCCTTCAGTGTTTCTTCTGCCTGTTACCTCTATATTTCTGAACAATATGCTTATACTGCTATTTCTGGATTTTTCCATTGCCTGGCTACCCTGGAAGGCTAAGATTTCCCTCTGCTATCTCCTCCCCACCCCACATACTTAGCTTCCCAACAGAGCTGTATCACAAGTCTTGGTGAAATCACTATTTAGTATTAAATATTCGTTATTACAACTATGTATATACTGTACCATGATGCCATTTCTAGTGCAACTTTCTGTTACCACTAAGTTAATAATTTGCTGATTTTTCTCAGTACCTATCCCTAATTCATCCTAAATTGCCAACTGACGTGGAAATTGCTTCTCAAAACATTCAAACCCATAAGGACGCCTCTCAGCTTCATTTTGTCTTGCCTCTCTCCCTCCTGGGGTCCTCCTGCTTCTAATTACTGTCTTCCTTAGAACTTTTGATGGTTTCTTTCTTGCTATAAGAAATCGGAATTTATTTTAGAAATTGGTAGAGATAAAAATAAAAAGGTATTTTAGGCTAGTTTCCTCAGGACCCTGAGCATTCAGACATGAGTAAATCCTGCTTCCTGCCCCAGCAAACTCGGCCTGGACAGGAAAACCTACAAAACAGAAAGATGCGAGGACACTTACAGACGCTGGGGATACGATAAGAGGTCACCCCAGGGAGGACAGCATGGGGTGCTGGGACCCTGCCTGCCTGCCTTTGGAATCAGGCAGACCCAGGTTTGAATCCTGATTCTGCCCCTTGTGGGACCTCAGCAGCCAACCTAACCCCCAGGACGTCAGTTTATTTCTCTGTGAAATACAGATTCCACTCACCCTTCAGGACGGTGCATAGAGCATATGAGAGAAGAGGGGAGAGCTCTTACACCACGCTAGACCCTTGAAATGACAGTGCCCTTCCGACTCAACTGCCACAGTGACAGAAGCACTCTCCAAATACAATCCTAAGGCCACTTACCTTAGGATTTGTGCCACTCGTATGGCAAATGTCTTCCAAAAAATCACCGTCAATTTTTTGTACTTTTACAGTTTTGTAACTATGGGGGTAAAAAGTTCAATTTTACTGGAAGGTAATAACTTCATTCCAGTTCGTGCCCATCTCAGAGCTCGACTCAAGTCCTGCATGGCAGAAACTCCTCATAGCGGTTGTGAGAAGCAACGCCCCAGTGAAAATTCTGATGTTTCGTATTGTAAGAGAAGGATATGCTTTCATTCAGCCATCACTTGGTAATACTTGAAAGCTAAAGGGACAGTTTGAAAAGGGTGACAACCTCAGCTGGGCTCTTCACCACCTGAGGGGCTCAGGCTGCTCACCCTCCTGCTTTTCCTCCCAAAGTCTTGACTGTTTGTCAGCAGAGGATGGTCACGTTCTCGTCACATCTTTGCACGGAGTCATTTTGAGTCACCTCCCAGCTCCTGAAGTTTTAAAACACTTTGAACGCCTTCAACGGTTTGGAAATCGATCCTGTTTTCAGTGGTATTCGCTCTTTCCCAGGGTGGTTTTAGCGGCTCAAGACATTCAGTAAAAGGAGCTGAGAACCATTCCCAAGTTTGCATTAATCTATTCAAATGATGCTTGTTGAAATATGCACTGCCTGTTAACCTCTCAAGAGCTCCTAGTTACAGATAGCATGTTAATTATATTCTCCACCTGCCACTGACAATATATAAGGATAATCTGCTCCCACAAAGGTCGTTTCCACTGAGCTATTAGGACTTTATTAACTAAGTTAAGCGTGGTTTGCTGGGACACTGTTGAATGTAACCAGATCATTATTTGTGCAGCTCGATATGTAGCACCCTCTGCAGACAGCTACGGAGTAGCAATGCCAGTAATACCAACTGTGTCTTCATTTGATTTTCTGTCCTTTTAAATTTATGGAATGAATAAATATGTTCTATTTGTAAACCCAAACTAGGGGCCAGCCTGGTGGCATAGTGGTTAAGTTCACACATTCCGCTTCGGCAGCCCAGGGTTCGCAGGTTCAGATCCCGGGCGGGGACCTACACACCGCTTATCAAGCCATGCAGTGGTGGCATCCCACATACAAAGTAGAGGAAGACTGGCACAGGTGGTAGCTCAGCAACAATCTTCCTCACCAAACAAAACAACCAAATCAATACAGATTAAATCAAGTTTGCCTTGACATCTCCCCTCATCTCATCTTCCCCCAGAAATAATCATTGTCATCAGTTTGTATGTAGCCTTTCGGAATTTTGCTATCTATGCACTCACAAGCATATGTAGATATTATGTAAATATATACTTTAGCTGATTAGGATACACTGTACATATTATTATGCAACGTAAATTTCCACCTTAACAATGTGACTTGGAGCTCTTGTCAGTACAAGAACAATGTCTGACATTTCAGCAGGTCTCCTGCCCGAGCACATCCAGGTAGTCCAATCTTCCACTATTCTGATGCTGCAGAACATATTCATATTCACTCTTTTTGCACAAGGCAAGTGTTTTCTCCAGTGGCTTGCCAGAAGTGAAATTTCTGGGCTCAAGATACACATCTTTAAAGTTTCAATAGACGCCGTTAAATTGACCTCTAAAAGGGCTGTAACATTTTATACTCACACTCACAGTACATGGATGTGTACCTGTGGACCGACATCCTTACAAAACTGATAGCAATCTTTTAAGTTTTTGTGATGTGTGAAAATTACTGTAGGTCATTCATTGTAAAAATATTGATTGGGTTCCTGCTCTGTAGCAGCCACTGTCCTGAGCACTGGAATTTGGTAGTAATGAGAGACAAGGCCTTGCCTTCAGGGACCTTGCATGCTTGTGGGGGAGAGAGATGATAAACATAAATCATAAAAATATGGTACCTGGCAGTGAGGAAAGATGGTGAGAAGTAGTTGGATTCTGGGCATGTTTGAAGATGGAGACGAGAGGATGATGGATGAATTCAATGTAAAGGCAAGTGGACCGGGTCACAGTCATTCCAAGTGTGGAGCGTAGGAAATCACTGAAAGGCAATGAGATACGAGAGCCTGAGGGGGTAAGGACAGGTTGGAGGGACCCAGAGTTCACTGTAGACGTACTAGGTGGGCATCGCCTATTAAACGTCCCAGGGGAAAGGGTGAGCGGGGCAGCTGGATATATAGGTTCAGGAAAAGGTTAGGATTGAAGGTATCAATTTGGGAGTCATTAACACATAGATGATATTCAAAGCCGTGAGTTTGGATAAGACCACTAAGCAGTGAGGAAGGATAGAGAAGAGGGCCACAAATTGAGAACAGGGATGTTCAAGAAACATCTGTACATACGCCCTGCTTTGTTTTTGTCCTAATACAAATTCAACTTGGTTGTGAGGTATTCACATTTTTATATACTGCTAAAGTTGACTCACTAATATTTTGTTTACTTTTTCACTTCTAAATCACGAAAGCTTGGGTTATAATTTTTCTTTCTTATAATGTCCTCGTCAAGTTTTGATATTATGGACAAAATGGTCCCGTAAAATGGGTTAGTTGGGAAGTGTTTCCTTTTTTTCTGTTCCCTTAAAGAGTTTGTGTAAGAATGTTATTTTTTTTCATTAAATGTTGGAAAAGTCACCAGTAAAGGTAAATGGGCTAGTGTTTTCTTTATAGGAAGGTTTATAATTTTTTATAGATTTATTGAGGTATAATTGACATACAATAAAGTACATATATATAAATTGTATAATTTGATACAATTTTGACATAAGTATTAGCCATGAAAGCATTACCACAATCAAAATAATGAGCAATGAGCGTATATATCACCCCCAAAAGTTTTCTCATGCCCCTGGGGGTCTCTGCCTCCTGCCGTTCCCATCCCCTGAAAATCCAGACAGTCACTGAGATGTGTGTTGCATTTAGTTTACTTTGGCAAAGTGGTGAAATCTTTCACCCATTTCCTCTTGAGTTGTTTTCTTATTATTTAGTTTTGAGAGTTCTTTATACATTCTGGATACAAGTCCTTTATCTGATAGGAGATTTGCAAATATCTTCTCCCAGTCTGTGGTTTGTATGTTCATTCTCTGAGCAGTGTTCTTCTAAAAACAGGTTCTTAGTTTTGAGAAAGTCCAGCTTATCAATTTATTTATCATTAGAATTCTAGAAATCATTGCTTTATGCCTTTTGAGGTCATATTATTTAAGTGAAAACAATTTTTTAAGTCTTTTAGCAAATGGACCATTTTATCATTAGGAAATGACAATATAATATTTATTATTCGTGATAGTTTTTGCCTTAATGTTTTGCTGTTACTTCTTCAGGACTGGCAAATTCCTCAGGGCAAAACTGATTGTTGAGTGCTGGGTCTGCCTTTTCGAGAACCTTCTCTCAGTTAGGGCAAGTAATATCTCATTATCCTGTTAGCTCTTTTGTGCCTTTTAAAAAGATTTTTTTAAAATATTTTTTCCAGCATTTTAATGTCTTCAGCAGGACAGTGGATCTGAACTCCTCTGCTGGCTGTTTGTTTTCTGAACTTATATCTCCGTATTGCTAAACTATCTTTTTCTTTCTAACAAATCCTCTATGGATCTCTTTGGATTTTGTATGTAGACAATCATGACATCTGCAAATAATTTCAGGCTTTGTTTATTGCTTCCAAACTTTTATGTCTGTAGTTATTTGTCTTGTCTTATCACACTAGCTAGGACCTCTAATATAATGTTGAAAAGATGTACTAACATTGGAAAACCTTGTTTTGTTTCTAACTTTAACGCAAATGCTTCTAGGATTTTACTATTGAGATAAATTTCTGTAGGTTTTTACTAGATACCTTCCATTGTTTCAGTCACGTTCTTTTCTATTCCTACTTTGCTAAAAGACTTTTCTTTGAATACCTTTGAATTTGTTTTGTTAATATCAAATCTTCAAATAAAATATTTCTTTCAGCTAGTCTTTCAATTTATTTCATTTTGAATATTTATCTTTGAATGTTATTTGAATTTACCTAAGTGCTGTTTGTACATCCTCTGAGAAGATCCCACGGTTTCTTGCTTTACTCTGTTAACGTGGAGAGTTACAGTTGCTGGTTTTTCTGATGTTAATTTACCATTGCACTCCCATGATAATTCCAACTTGGACATGTTGTATTCTCTTTTTATAAGTTGCTGGATTCAATTTGCTAACATATTTTAAAGGACTTTAGTGTCCATGGTTATGAGTGGGGTAACCCTACCATTTTCCTTTTCCTTGTTGTCTTTGTCTTATTTTGTTATCAATGTTACATAGACTTCATTGAATGTTTAGAGGAGTCTCATCTTTTACAATACTCCAGGAGAATTTATATAAGATTAGAATCATTTATTTCTTGAAAATTTAGTGGAAATATCTTTCAAAACCATGAACTTTGGGTTGTAAGTGGTATGGAAATTTTTTTAATGCTGATTAGACTTTTTTAGAAGTTATAAAACTCTTCTGCTTTCCATTTCTTCTTGTGTCAGTTTTTGTTCACTTTATTTTTCTAGTAATTTGTTCATTTCATTTAAGTTATCAAATTCATGAGCATCTATTTATTCAGAGTATTCAGTTAATGTCTTTTAAATTTCTGTCTCTGTACTTACGTATTTTTATACGTAATTTTAAAATTTGAACTTCATTTCCTCCTTCTTGGTCAGTGTCCCTCAAGTTAGGTTACCCTTTTCAAAGAATTGATTTGGGCCAATTTTTTTTTTTCTATTACCTTCTTCCTGTTTATCTAAGGTTTGTTCTGTTGCTCTTGTTCTGTCTTTCAAATGGAGAATTTTCAGCCATTCTGTTTTTCCAATATAAACATTTAAGGTGAAACATTTTCTCCTTAGGTACCGTTGTGCTATATTCCATGAATTTTGATACATTTTATTTTTGTTATCATTTAGTTCTAATTTTTTTTTAACTTCCATTATAATTTCTTTAACCCGTGAGTTATCTGGAGGTGGTGTTTTAAAATTTCTAAACGTATAGAAGTTTTCATTTCACTTTCGTTATTGTCTTCTAAATTAATTGTTGGGAATGTTTTCACTTTAGTTTTGCCTGTTCTATGATTTTTGTCCATTTTAAAATGGGATTGTTTGCTTTTTGAGTTGTAGTTCTTTATATATTCTGGATACAGGTCTTTTGTCAAGCATATGATTTGTGAATATTTGTTCCCAGGCTGAGACTTGCTTTTTCATTTTCTTAATGATGTCTTTTGATGAACAGAAGTTTTTGATTTAGATAAAGTCTAATTAATCAATATTTTCATGAATGGTTATGGATTTCAGTATTCTAAAAAATTTTTGTCAATCCTCAAATCATGAAGATGTTCTTCCATGCTTTCTTCTAAAAGCTTTATAGTTTTAGCTTTTACATTTAGATCTATGACACATCTGAAATTAATTTTTTTCTATGGCATGAGGTAGGGGTCAAGATTTGTTTTTCAGTGGATATCCAGGTGTTTCAGAACCATTTGTTAAAAAAATCCTTTCTACTTAAAGTGCTTTGGTGCCTCTGCCAAGCATCAGCTTACGATATATGTAAAGGTTTATTTCTAGAAAAAAAAAAAAAAAAAGAGTAGAAGTGTTGAGATTGGACGTCTGTGCCTTGTTCTTGATCTGAAGTAGTCTAAATATAATTATACATTATATTATTGCACTTTTCACATATGCTCTATCTGATTAAGGTGGTTCCCATCTATTTTGAGTTTGCTGAGAGTTTGGGTTTTAAATTATGAATGGATGTTGCATTTTGTCTGATTTTTCTCTATCTAAAGAGATGATCATAGGATTTTAGTGCTTTATTTTGTACTCTGTTGATAAACCCCACTTCGTTGTGATGTATTATTTTTAGATATTAATGGATTTATTTTCTAATATTTTGTTAAAGATTGTGCAACTATCTTCCTGAATTGTTAGTCTGTAGTTGCTTTCTTGTTTCGGTTTGTTTTTCCTTTGTCTGCCTTTGGCATTGGGTTAGCCTCACAATGATTTGAGAAATATTCCCTTCTCT